AAGATGCACAGAGGAGATTGTAACCATTACAATGAAACAATGGTGTATAGCCAATGTTCTCCCATGTAAACTATCACTCAATTCACAATAAAAATTTATTTAAAAAATCAGAGTTTAGTTACCAAAAGCAATTCCAGAGCAATGCAAGTTCTTTTCCAATGTACAACTTTTGTGTTATGCATTGCCCTCTTACGTACTGTTTTACCTGTATCCCACACATTTTGATCTGTAATTTAAAATATTTTCAGTTCAAAATATTTTTACTTTTCATTATTATTTCTTCTTTTAACTATGTATTATTTTAAAGGGCATTTTAGTTTTCAAATGTGTAAGGATTTTCCAGTTATCTTTTTAAATTGGTATCTAGGCTAATTACAGACTACTGGTGTGGCACTGTTAAGGTCAGTAATTCAAACGCACCCGCTGCTCCATGGAAGCTCCAACCTCTACACAGGGTTGCTGTGAGTCCGAATCAACTCGACAGCACTTAACAACAACACAGGCTAATTACATTGTTAATCATGTTCTTGCATCTTTCAAACCCATCAAGAAAAAACATCGCATATTAATTTAAGGAACGGAACAGAAAAATGCAGAAACCTCTTTGGCAACTTTGGAAGGAAGATAGGGAAGCTCACATTAAAATAGTGTTTCTTCTGTATTATTAAATGAGAATTGCAGGTATCAATGCCAAGGAGCAAAAGCCAAACAAATTGACGTTTAAGCCTATGTCCTTCAGGCATTGCCTTAAAAGTGTTCAAAAGAAATAGATTTGAGACAATCTTTTTTTTTTTGAGATAATCAGAATATTTTTACTTTCATAGAGTAAATTTCCTTTGTTATTAAAATAAGATTCTATTTATTAAAATGTGACAAACACAAGAATTTATGTACACACATCAGAGGAATGTTGTTGTTAAGTGAGGTTGATTCAGTTCTGACTCATAGCAACCCTGTATAGGATTTCCAAAGAGCGACTGGTGGGTTTGAACCACCAAAATTGTGTTTGGCAGTCCAGCGCTAATCCTACAGTACCACAGAAGCATGGTAGTGGAGGCATTAAAAGCACAGACTTCAAAGTCAAACAAACCTGGGTGGTCTCTTGTTCTACCACTTGATTTATCCATAAAATGAATGTGTTTAAAATACATAAGAAAAACATTGATTAAAGAATAGAAAGAATTTTTATGATTTTACTGCTGGTGATGGGTATACAGGGGTATATCATGTTATTCTGAATTCCTGATGTGGCGCTGTAGGATAAGCACTGGGCCACAAGGTCGGTGGTTCAAACTCATCAGCCACCCCTCGGAAACCCTATACAGGGTCGCTATGAGTTGGAACCAACTCGAGGGTACTTAACAACAACATCACCCTAGTCTATCTATGTTGGGTATATTTGATACTTACTGTAATAAAACATTAAAGAAAATAAACAAGAGCATAACAAAGGAGGTCAACTTTCTATTGGGCAACAGTCAAGGAAGGCCTCTGCAAAGAAGCAACTTTTGAGCTGAGACGTGAGGTTTGCATAGGAGGGAGCCAAAGAAAGACTAGAAGAAATGCACTCTAGGCAGAGAAAAAATATGTGCAAAGGCTCTGAGGCAGGAAAAAATGCACCATGTTCAAGCAACTGAAAGGAGGTCAGTGTAGCCAGGGCAGAAAGATGGAGTCGTAGAATGGTGCCACATTTGTACATCTTCATTCACCAGCCCCTTACAGTCACACAGCTGCATGGAACCATCCCATCCCCCGGACTCAGGTTCTGGAACTCACTACAGAAGGCTGCACAGATGCGCTGGCTCCGGCGGCTGCAGATGGGTTTGCAGGAAACACAGGTGATCAACAGGTGATCCCAGTAGTGCTCTTCAGGGCAGGACCTCATGGCCACCCCCGTCCATGTACTCTGTGGGGCTGAAGGGCAGGAAGCTGTGAGGGCAGCTGGTAGACCGCTGCACCCAGCCTCTTGTTCCTGGCTGGAACCCAGGCGGCCTCTCTGACTCACATTTCAACCCCCTCAAGGAGCAGAGAAGTCAGACAAAGCCAGATGACAACCCACGCTGCACTTGCTGGGTAACCTGATGTGATCCAAACCTCCGTTTCCCCATCTGTAAAATCGTGGTTGTGAGGGATACTGTATTTTTACATTCGGAACCTCTTGTGCATTCCGTGCATGGTATTTGTTATGTTCAAAAATATCGTTAATGAGGTCCTTTGCTCACATCAGCTTATGCCCTGCTTGAGCGTGCTCCAGATGTAATGCTCTGTAATGTACCACACCTCCTCCCACCACAGGGTCTTTACATATGCTGTTTCCTTTGCATAAAATGCTCTTCCTCCTCTTGGACTGTGGAATTCCACCTCATCCTTTAGATCTCACTTTAAGCTTTGCTTCTTCAAGGAAGTCTTTCTGACTCTCCTTCAGATGAGGACCTGTCCCCATCAATCATGCTCGTTATTGGTCCCTATCCTCATTTTACTTCTACGTGTGACCATTTGATAACATCTTCTCTCCAATAACCATGGGCATCCTGCAGGACAGGATGGTGTCTATTTTTTTATTCACTGTTGCATCCCCAGAACCAATAAATAAATGAGTATTTTTATAAATGTAGACCTACCCACTGCCTGGTATACAGCAAGTACTCAAGGCATCCAATTTCCTTCTCTTTATAGTGTGTGGGAGCTTGGTGGCTCCATATGATAAGCACTAGACTGCGAACCACCAAGACCATGGTTCAAAACTGCCAGTAGCTCTGCAGGAGAAAGATGAGACTTTCTGCTCCTACAAAGATTTAAAAAGCCTTGGAAGTCCTATACTGGGTCACTGTGAGTTGGAACCAACTAAATGGCACTTAACAGCATGAAATGAATCTAATGTGTATCAGGTGTACTATCTTATGTCTACAGCTGGACAAATTACAAATTTGTACATATGTTTATATTCATGTAACTACCACCTATGTCAACAGAACATTTCTCATGCCCAGGCTACCTCCCTTTCAACACCCACTCAGAGGTAACTGATAACTCTCATTTCTGTCACCATAGGCTAACACTGGCTGTTCTTGGACTTGATATACAGCTTCTTCTGCTCCACAGAGTGTCTGAGATTTTATTCATTTTATGTTTTCTTGCTGTGAGACTCCAATGATATGAAGGCATCACCTCTTCTATAATTTCCTATATGATTTAATGACATTTGTTTCTCTGATACCTTCTCCTTTAAAATGTTTCACAAGGCGTTTTTTATTCTTTCAGTGAAAGTAAGCCAAGAAAAAATAAGTGACGAGTTTCTGGCAAGGTGGCAGAGTAGTCAGACACACTACACAGGCCCTCTAAAACAGAGATATGGGAGACCAAATGAAACAGACACAGATGAGGATAATCCAGGGACCCTGATCTTCAGAGGAAAGTCAAAGAAAGCAATTGAATATTTACTGGGAGGAGAAGCTGAGCAGAAGTAAAGAAAGGAGGAGACTGACAGATGAATGAACTGTCAGTGTGGCCATGTTGAATGTTTGCAGACAGGCAGTGGCCTAGTGGCACAGATTTACACAGTGACAAGAAAGGTATGATTTCTTCTTATTTCCCACTACCCCCTGGAGACTAGAAATGTAGTTGACCTCCACCCTCATCTACCCCAGCATAGACCCCACCCTTCAGGAGTTCAGAGCCACACCAGGGAGAGGCCGGTGCCTTGGTGCCTGGATTCAGGCATACTCTGTTTTAGCCCTATGGAACCTGCAGAGTCTCTAAACTAGCATTAGGCTAGCAGGAACCCTCATAATCAGACACTTTGTCCCAAGCTACCCTTTGTCCTTACAGACACTGAAACCAACAATGTTAAGGGTCTCCAAGAACTACTTCTAGATTAAATATCCTAAACATACACAATTCCATCTAGGGCCAGGAACTCCACCGCCACATCCCTTCCCACCCACCTTGTGAGCTCCTTGGCTGGCAAGAGCTCCCACCCGCCGAGTTTTCTCCTTTCTGGGTCCAAAACCTGCAGTGTTTTCTTTTTTCTTTCATTGTTTCTTTTTGTTGTTGTTTATTCTTTCTTCTAGTTCTTCCTCTCTCTCCCTTAAATTTTTCTTTAAGGTTTTATTGTGAATTATGTGATAGTTTACATGGAAGAACATTAGTTTTACATTCATCCTATCATATATAGTTTCATTGCCATGGTTACAATCCCCTCCATGCATCATCAACCAACCAAAGAGTATATCCTAAAAGCCTACCCCCACCTCCCCACCCCCGGTTGTCAGCACACAGCCCCTCTCCCTCTCTGGGTCTAAAGTCTCCAGCTGCTCCATCTCTCCACATCATCGTCTCTGCCTCCATTTCAGGCATCACTGCTTCTCTGGGTAGGGTCCCACTCTCTACTCTTCTCCCTTTATGGTCCCAGGGACCTCCGCTCCAAGACTGAAAAGATAATCACTCCCTTCCTTGCTACAAAACATCTACCTTTACATTTCCAACCCTCACAAGCAGTCCTAATAACAATTATTCACCGTTGTATCATAAGAGACCCATCCGCATTTCCCTTCATCAGCTCTGTCTAGACAGATTGGATACTACTCAGTGGAAATTCTACCTTCCTCCATGCCCTCTGGATCTAGGTTTCCTCTTGAAAGCTTGTAAGCCAGTCACTTCTTGCCTTTGTAGCCCCCCCATTTTGGGTAGCCAATGTCCAAATTGCCCATCCCTGTCTATTCTGTGTATGTAGGGGGTGGGAATGATCCTCGTTGTAAAGATTTGTTCCCTCTTTTGAGCTACTGCATCCATAAGTGTAGGTCAAGTTCATGAAATTGTATCAGATTACTTTTTTTTTTTTTCTTCTCGTCTTTCTTCTTCTAGTTGAGCTCTGATCATTCAGCCATTGAAGCCAGGTCAAGTGGGTATTATCTGCTCTCTCTCTTAATTTTCATCCTTTTATCTTCACTTTCATTTTTTCTTCTTTTCTGTTTCACATTGCCCCCTTCTTCTTTCTCTTGATTTTTATTACTCTCTAGTCTCTTTCTCTCTTCATCTTCCTGCTCTATATTTTCTTAGTGTTTTTTTCTCTTCCTTTTCTCTTCTATAACTCTATACTCCTGTTCTTCGTTTCTTGTTTTAGTTATTTTTTTCCCCTTATTATTGCCTGTTTCTTTTTTCTCCTTTATTATTGTATGTTTTCACTGTTGTTTGCTTGTTTATTTATTCTGTTTGGTTTTCTTGTGCATGTCTTCTTTGTCCTCACCCAACAGGAGCTCCTGGCCCTACAAGTGTGCCTATATAGCCCAGCCACAATCACACACTAGGCAAGAACCAATACTAGTTTCTATGCCACCTGATCAATAGTAGACAGCAGCCAACACCAGCCAAACCCACCCTACACTGAGTTGCATGAGCAGTAAACAGAGACCAGCACACATGCTTCAGTTCTTTAATCACAAGTGACAGTTGGTGAGAGCCTAAGTACAAATATAGCACTACAACGTCTCAGAGACAATTGACAATTTTAGTTTACAAGAAGAAACGATAGAATGGCTCAAAAGAATGGCCAAGATGCAGAGCCAGAAACCATGTCTGAGGAAGAAAAGGTAGTGGAACTACCTGAGAAACAATCCAAAAGAATGATATTTAGGTATCTATAACAGACTAAAAGGAGCTCTGGTAGCATAGTAGTTATGAGTTGGGCTGGTAACCTCAAGGTCAGCAGTTAAAAGCTACCAGTTGCTCCTTGGGAGAAAGATGAGGCTTTCTGCTTCCGTAAAGATTTAAAGCCTTGGAAACCCTATACAGGGTTGCTATGAGTCAGAACCAACTCCATGGCATACAATAACAACAGAACAGACTAACAGAAATCTAGAGAAAGCAAGAACACAAAAACATTTTGAAGAATTCAGGAAAACACTATGTGAACAAACACACACAAAAAATGCAAATTTTGAAACAATATAAAACCTGCAAATTCAGAGTTGGACAATACATTGAAAGGGCAAAGGAATAGATGTGAAATAATGGAAACCCAAATTAATAAGACTGAAGATAAATCACTCTATACTAGTAAACTAGAAGAACAATCAGAAAAAAATAATGAAAAAATCCAAAAAAAGACTAAGGTTTTGTGTGGAACACTGTAAAGATAAATAACTTATGAGTGGTTGGAATTCCAGAACAGGAAGAGACAATAAGAAGCGCAGAGAAAGTTGCCAAAGAGCTGTTAGAAGAAAATTTCCCTAACATAATGAAACACAAGAAGCTAAGCATTCAAGAAACTAAATGAACCTCAAACAAGATAGGCCTCAAAATAAAATCACCAAGACATGTCATAATCAAACTTTCCAAAACCAAAAACAAAATCCTGAGAGCAGCTCAGGAAAGAAAAGCTACATAGAACAAAGAATCAACAAGACAAAGCTCTGATTTCAACAAAAACCAGGCAGACAAGAAGACAGTAGGATGATATATACAAAACTCTGAAAGAAAAAAATTTCCAACCACGAATCATATACCCAGGGAAGCTGTCCCTTAAATATGGTAAAATTAGGACAGTTCCAGATAAATAGAATTAAAGGAATCTGCAATAACTAGACCAACTTTACAAAAATTACTAAATTACTGAGAGTCAACAATAGCACATAACCTGAGACTAACCTACTTGACAACTCCATTCAGAACACAATCCAGATATAGAAGTATTAAAAGTAAAACAAACCTACAAGATTGAAAATAGGGAAACAGAAATATGAATTTATAATGAAGTCAACTACAAAAAAAAAAGAGGGAATAGAGTAGACACAAGAACTTCCAAATGGCGAGGAAGTCAAGTAGATTTTAAGATAAAGCAGACTGTTATTAAACTGGTGCAATAAAAGTGACAATAAACCACAATACTCTCAACTCAGCTGGGTTTGCAGTGGTCACCATACTCATAGTTATGGGGCTTATTAGGGAAGTTACTTACAAGTTACAATACAGAGTCAGAAATGCTCAGGGCACAGTTGTTCCTGTCAGGACAACCTATCCTCAAACCTGCCCACGGGCAAGCCTCCCTGTGGCCAGCCAACATTACAAAGCTCTTTTAGGGCTGCTGATAAATGCCTATGGAACTCCACCAATAAAGTGCCGGTAGGCACCCCACTCTGCAAATTAACCTCTTGTCCAAAGTCACTTAGCTTTACTTGCTTTGTGAGCTAGGAAGCCCACCATTCTGTTTCATGTCTGGTTCTTGGTTCTTCTGCTCTGATTCCTCTGCCATTCCTCTGATGTGACAGCTTTCTG